TATACAGTCGCCCCTTTTTAATTACCTTTTCTTAGATCTTTATCTCTTAACTTTGTAACCACCACTTTTTTTACACATGTAACAACACTGTTATCGAATTTTTTAGAAAACATTAAAAAAAAAGTTGTAGTAAGTTAAAGTAATTTAATGATGTTAATCTGAAAGCGTTGTGCGTGGCGGAAAGCCTGCGGCCAGGTTTACCCGCCTCCTCATACATATGAAAATCCCACAACCACCTGCTTCCCGTCTGGTTACCTTGATATCAGTATTCTCCGAACTCGGAGTTCCTCTCTTAGCAGAAAAAACAATGGGACCGTCTACATACATTGAATTTCTTGGAGTCACACTCGACATCGTGTCATTCGAGGCGTCTCTGTCAACCAAAAAACTCAACCGCGTCAGCCTTCTAATCTCAAAATTCCTCCTTGCCACACTCTGTACCAAACGGCAATTTATTTCCCTTTGGATTACCTAAACTATGTATCGTCCCTCAAGGAATATCATTCATCTTTCACTTTTTAGCATTAGCCGCATCCGTCTCATCTCTCCTAGATTTCATCCCCGTGGACAGTTCAAGCCACGCCGAACTCCGTCTCTGACAAAATCGTCTCTCCAATTGGAAAGGGATCACCTTTTTCTATGACGACACATCAACGTATGAACACGATCTACATTTCTATACCTACGGTGCTCCTTCTGTTGGTTTTGGGGGCTTCTACAATGGAAGATGGAAGATATTTGGCCTCCTTAGCTCGCAAGAGGCTACTTAACCACCTCATCCGCGCTCTTTGAAATTTACCACTAAATAGCAGCAGCCATTCTGTGGGGCCACGAGCGGTCCCAAAAGTCCTTCCTCATCCACTCCGACTGCAAAAATTTGCACTGATATATTAACATATGTAAGGCAATCTAAACCCAAAGTTGCACACCTAATGCTTCTTTTAAAGCTGCTTATCCTGGATGTCTTAAAAGTTATTTTATTCTGTTACTTCAGTCAGACACTGCAGTCAAGTTCTCTTCTGAGCTGTTCTTTCTATTTCATGTGTTTATTATGGTGGTGTTAGAAAAACTTTACTCGACACCGGTGTAAAAATCATTAACAGTTTAACAGGCTAGACCAAGCTGCAGTTTTTAGTATTTTGCTGTTGATAGTATTTCCATTCAGTGTATGATGCGATATATGATGGAGGACAGGTGAAAGTAAATGAGCTAATTTGGTTAGTGAGGCAGAGTGTATAGAAACAGAACTGTCATACCCTTAGTAAATACACTGTCACGTTCTGTAATTTAACTTAAAATAACTGATGTTCTCAATCCTCAACCTCATACCATATCGGAGCAAGGACGGCAAAGAGTCGGGATCTAGTTGAGTGTTTTGCAACACTGAATAATGGTGTCCCCTTCCTTAGAAGAGCTTGGACAAATAGCTGCCACTACTGCATTAGCCCACATCGTAAAGATATGTACCCAGGTATATCTATTCTCAAGAAGCATGGGGCTTTTGGGCCTTTGCCATGTCCAGGTGTTACCGCGGATCAGCTAACAAAGCCTTCTACAACTTATTTGGCTAGTGGGGCAAACTACACTAAATTCAAGCCAAGTGGAGCAGTTAGTCACTACGAGTATTGGCATGATGCAGATTGGTGGAAGCATGATGCTTAAGTGAAGTATTCGTGGCGAGGATGTCTTCTGCTGTAAATCCATTTAACCACGGACATTATTATTAAATACAGATTACTGAAAATAGTACACAATACAGCCAGTTGATGCACATTGTTTGGTAGTCTAAGTTCTAACAAAGTAGGGTAAGGCTGAGGCTAAATATAGAGAGATATACATACAACATTACTAATGAAATTACAGGTACGGAAATATGATGTGTATATTCTCAACAATGAAACACATTTCGCATTGGCTACAGTTGCCATCAATTGACCAAAAAGCTGCTACCTCCTGCATAACACGAAAACAACTACAACACAGACGACAAAGGAAGGCAGCAAATGCTCGTTTGAGCGAACATGAGATGGGATGTTCTAAATGCATTTGTGTGTGTGAAGGAGATTTTGTGTCACACAAAATGGAGAATCAGCTGAGAGTGATAATGGTTCATGTCTGAGCCCATTACGGAAGGTGTGTAAGAGTGGGACATGCTTGTATGGATAATTGTGTACATGGTGGCTTCTTCTCAGGAAATTAACTTTGATAATCCACTTTAAAAATGTAATCCAACTGAAATTAATCAATTCCAGGTACAGTACACTCTGTGCTAAAGGACAAGTTTGTGTTTCTTTGTGAAAGTAGAAACAGGCAAAACTGTTTTTAAGTAAATGATCAAATATTTTGTAAATGTTGTACTGACAGAACTTTCTGTACTTCACGATGAGTTATAACAAGTAGTTACCTTATTCTGGTTAAAAGTCAGCTAAGCACAATGGTTTATTTTTCCATTCCATCATATGACATATGTTTTTGGTATATATATATATATATATTAGATCTATTGGTAGCCCTATATATATATACATATATATATAGGGCGGCACGGTGGCGTGGTGGTTAGCACTGTCGCCTCACAGCAAAAAGGTCCTGGGTTCAATTCCGCCCAGTGGCCTTTCTGTGTGGAGTCTGCATGTTCTCCCCGTGTCTGCGTGGGTTCTCTCCGGGTTCTCCGGCTTCCTCCCACAGTCCAAAGACATGCTCTGGGGATCAGGTTGATTGGGGACTTTAAATTGCCCGTAGTTGTGTGAATGTGAGTGTGAATGGTTGTGTGTCTCTGTGTAGCCCTGTGACTGGCTGGCGACCAATCCAGGATGTACCCTGTCTATTGCCCGAAGTTGGCTGGGATGGACTCCAGCCCCCCCGCGACCCTGTGTGCAGGATAAGCGGTTTGACAATGGATGGATGGATGGATGGATATATATAGGGCTGCCAATAGATCTAAAAAAGATGAAGATTTTGTAATAACATTATCATCATCATATAAATCAACATACCTTAGAAAGCCTGTATTTCAGACAATGTTGTTAAATTGTAGTTTTTTATACACAAATGTATACATAGATTCTTAAAGCGGTTGACCCTGCACTTGGGGATTCTGAAGCGTCTCCCTGAGGGAAGAAGATGGTTCAAGATGGAGGAAATGCGTGGGGTCTGAAATAATCTTCTGGGCCTGTCTGATGATGGTTTTATTAAAGACAGCCTGCAGTGTTGGATGATGTCCGACCCCCCCATGATTATCATGGCTCTTTGTGTAACCCGGGTCGTCTTGGCTTTCAGCTTCACACCGAGGTTACTAAACAGGATGCTCTCAACTTTTGCGTGGTTGAAGAGGAGCATCACTTTCTGGTTGACACCAAAGACCCTTAGCATACAAAAAAAAGTGTAGCCGCTGTTGGACCCTAGAACAGACATTTACTACATGAACACAGCATGTCGACAGGTTTGTATAACCCAGGTATCTGTCAGAGTCAACCCGTAATATATTCTGCTTATGGATAACCACTGGTGAGTGGTCTCCGATGGATTTGGGGTTGAATACCATTATCTCTTCTGTTTTTTTGACATTCAGGATGAGGAAGTGTTTGTTGCACCACTCGACAAAGTCGAGAATCTCGCTTTACATACAGCTGTATCTGATACATCAGACATGACACCCAGAATAGCTGTATCATCAGGAAACGTTACCATGTAATTGTTACCAGTACTGCAAACTGACACACTCCTGGGGGGCGTTGGTGTTGATGGTATAAGGATTCAGACAAGGTCTTGTTCACTCTGACCTGCTCAGTACAGTTGGTGAGGAATATGTTCAAACTACTACTCATTTGCAAGGCAGAAAATCCACCGACTGGAACCTGCTGTCTTTGTGCAGTTTGCTGTGCTCTCAACTCTCCATAAATTGACGGCTGTTTGAAGAGCCCACAATCTCCCTCCATTTAGCCAGGACGTTTTCCAAATCACTGTCTTTTAGCGACATAGTGGTTGTCCTCTGCAGACTGTGTGCTGCGCAGGGTAGATGTTGAGATGGAAGGAGCCTTGCAGCTACCAACATGTTCGGGGCACTATCAGTCCTAAAGTGGTCCGTTTGCCACTGTTCCTCCCTCTTTTTGACACTTTAAGGAATTCCTCTGCAGATTTATCCGCTGTATGTCGCACCTTTTTGCACCACCTTTGTTTTAATTGTTTTACCAATTGCAAAATCTGTCTCCACCTTCAACTACCGTCTCGGTCTCTCCGATCTAACTGACTGCAGGCACGCAGTGGTTTCATGTCAGTGGTCAATGCAAACTGGAAGTGAACAAAATTGCCTTTACTGCGCTGAATTATTTTATCGCATTAATCTCTGCCACATTAATCGCATAGATTAACAAGTTAACTGAGATAGTTATCTACATATATAAGTATAGACATATGCATTCAAGTTATTCCGTAGTAGTTTGCAACAACTTCAAATACTTAATCTAACATTATAATTCAGTCTGACCTTGAATCAACACCAAAGTTACTGCAGTTACATTTATATAGTTGTATAGTATTTATAACATCCACACATGCTAAATAGTAACTTAAATTCACAGGCGTTGAATCAGATCTCGGCTTAGAAGATCAGAAGAAGGCTTAGAAGATGTAGATCAACGCAACCTACCGATGCGTTGAAAGCAAAGAAGCATTTTAATTAAATTTGCCGCTCCAAGTATAATCTTTGCATGGAAATACAACAGAGTAGCTGCAGAGCACGTCTTTAAACATGACGTGGAACTGTCCCTCAATTCTCAATGTTGTCATTGATTTGTCTCTCTTAACGGGAAAAGCATTGTCTGGTTCATCAAACCAGAAAAGAGCTTCCCCTCTTTTTACAAAATGCCCTTTATATTTTACCCATTATGTGTGGTGGGTGACTCAAATATTTACAGGTTGTTCTTATTTCTGGCAGATCACATTATGTTTTAAATGAATATGTTAAGTTCAATGTTTAATTTGATTTTCTTTCTACTTCCAGTTTCCTAGTATATTGTGTGAATGAGTACGGGCGAGGCGGTGCCATTTCTTTTAGGATTAACACTGCATATATAAGCCATGTGGTGGGTTGTTTGTTTCAACTGCTCTCGTGCAGCATCAGACAGCATGACAACCCAGCGATGGATTCTGGCATTCTGCCTTTCACTGGCCTCAGGTATTTCCACCGCAAAATGATGAAGATGCAATATTTAAACTCTTGCCATTTTGAAAATGATTTGTCTTTTTTCGTGATGTTTTCACAAGATGAGTAGGTAGAAGAAAGATGTATAATTTTTGCAGCTTAATATTTCAATCTCATGCTACCTTATATCTATACTATACTATAAAGTTTTGTTAGCTTCCGCGATAAGTTCCATGTCGAAGTGTCCCTGAGCAAGACACCTAACCCCTAATTGCTCCCCAGGCAAAAATGTGAAAAGCCATGGGTTTAAAGTGTAATGTAAGTCGTTTTGGATAAAAGCGTCTGCTAAATGACCTGTAATGTAATGTAATGTAGTTACCATACCAATCAAAAATATGAACACAAAACATATCCTAAACATAAATAGAATAAGATGCACTGTTGAAGAATGAATAGTTGACACTGACAAAAGCAATTCCTTCCAATTATCAACATATAAACCTTCGGTACTTTAAAATAGAGGTAGCTGCAATTTGTTGTCTCTGCTTACACGTATGAATACTTTATCTGGTATAACAAGTATTTTCTTTTCAATCCATACATTTCCCTCATAATTCATGTTTACTTGCACCCTGACACTGTTTTTTTCTTCTAGTTTTTGGCACAGTGGAATTGTTCAAGACCAAAGAAATTCAGACTTGTGAGTAAAAAACCGATCAATATGTGATATTCATCAGTTCACTACCCAGATTACTTTTTTGAAATGATTGTATATGTTGTAGGTACTAGCTACACTGTTTCAGGTTTTTTAAACACATGCTGTTTCATTGTTTGGATGTTGCATTTCTCTCATTTATTGTCTTACTGTTCCTTTTGTGATCACAATTTTGCAAGTTGCTTTTTGCAAAACAAACCAAACAAACAAAATCCACTGACACTCACAATGTGTAGGATTCTGTACATGGCAGATAAACATAATTTAGACGTGAATTTAGACGTGAGTTGAGCATTTGGCTTATTGAGTTGAAAAGACACTCTAAAAAATCGTATTTTTCATTCAATGATTGTATTCCTTAGACTGAGTAAGGAAAATCGAGTACACTTTGACCCAAACATTTAAATCTAAAGTCATTTCATTTACATATTTCTTAATTTCTGACCTCACATTTCTCCTTATTGTTCAACCTTAATTGTTGAATTGTGATCAGACACTTGCAGGACATTTGGCAGCGGGATCGTCCAGCCTTTTAAGGGGGAGAGTTACTATGTTCGGTCCGACTGCCCGTTCAAACTCACAAGCTTCAACGTCAACCGGGGGGAATATTCTGTCACCATACGGCGAGGTCACAACGGGCTGTTGGTCCAAGTCGAGATCATCGTCAACAAAGTCACAACACTTTTGCAGAATGGCCACATCCTAGTGCAGAACAACAGGTTTGAGCCCAAGCAGAAAACTGCAGCCTCACTGAACAACAAATAATGAGTAATGCGAAAAAGTCAATTTAAAAATTCATCACATGACTGTTCTTCCAAAACAGACAACTATTTTAATTAAATGGACATTCACAACACTTTAAAAAAAATGTTCACCTGCCTAATGCCACCAATCCCAGGTGATTATTTGCTTTGAGTCAGGGACATTGTATTATCAGTGTTTTGTGAAATTAAAACGTACTGAGTTAACATACTGAGTCAAGATGTTACCGAGTTATCACATAGGGACTTATTTCCGGGAGGTGGAAACTGTAATAGTTCACCCATTCTGTCTTTAATTAAAAACAAACACCTGTTTTATGTCAAGTGGTGATCGTAATTGGTCAAAAGAATTTATTTGTTGATAAAATCCATTTTCTCTGTATTTGTATTGTTTTCCGATGGTCCATTAATTGGTACATTTATTGAAATATTGGATAACTTACTCCACTCCTCTTCGTCTTGATAGTGTTTCACTTCCATACGACCACACCTACCAGCATATCTTTAAATACGGCATCTACACTAGACTGAGGAGCTCGCTGCTTCCTTTTACTGTCACCTGGCACAATGTACATGGGGGAATAAACTCTCTGTGGGTAAGTTGACGTTATACAGTCGGCTCAACACACTTTTAAGAGCAAAATTACAGTAAGACAAATGCATGCAGGCAAAATCAATGTCTCATGTTAATTGGAACATACAACACTAACCTCACTCACTGAAGCCCATGTGTTTAAACTTGTTATTAAGGTGACACTGGAGTCGGAGCTGTGCACCGACATGTGTGGACTGTGTGGAAAACAAAACGTTGCAGGTATTATTAACTGACTGGAAGTGAGACATTGATTGTTGTAATATAGTAGTAACATTGACAGCAGTATTTTTAGTAGCAACTGCAATCATTTCTTTTGGTGGTAGTGAAAGTGGTACAAATAGTGATTTAAATAGCCAAAACAATTGTTTGCATCCAGTTTGGTTTAACAAAGTACATTTTTCTTGACATTAGGCCACAGGGACGAGTTGATCAGAGAAAGCAAGCTTCACGACCACAGATGTAAAATCAGAGATCCTGTGTTGCAAAAAAATCACGTGAGTTAACAGATCTAATGATTAACTCATTTCGACAAGCAAAATAGAACACAATAGAATACATGGACATATTAGGAAGCATCTCCATTCTCTTCTCTTCTTTTCTACATCATTGGGGGAGGGTTGATTTTATGAGACTGAGAGACTCACAAAATAAGTGAACAATTATGTGTCCTAGTTCCAGATATTAAAGTGGTTTTCCTGATTATATCTACAGATATGCCGTCGATTCTTTTTGAAAACCAAGAACTGTCTGCAAGACAACAATTCTCACTATCACCGACTCTGTAAAGAGAACATTTGTGGCTTTGAAAACAGCCAGAGCATCTTCTGTCCTTTCTTCCAAGAAGTTGCAAGCCAGTGTAACCAATCAAGAATCAACCGATTTTGGAGACGTTTAACCAGATGTGGTAGGCACTCTTCAAAAACAAAATGAAAAAAAATCTTATGGACTCATTGGAGAAGAACACATGATGTTATTTTCTGTGGTTTAATGCAGCGAAGCCGAGGTGTCCAGGAGACCTGATTTATGAGAAAAAAGGTCCAGCATTTATTCCCAGCTGCTCCAACCCGAACCCTGCACCCTTCTACCAGGAACTCACTGAAACCTGTGCCTGTCCAAAGGGTGAAAGAGCACGATCTGTCTTTATGATGTAGCTCTTTAAAAGTTTCATAGCTTGTTTAGCCTCAATAAGCCTAATAACATGGTGTTATTTGTATTTTAGGTAAAGTTTTGAATAATTGTGAAAAGGGCTATCGCTGTATACGTAAATCCAGCTGCTCCTGTGAGTTCGCTGGCAAGACCTACGGAAACGGAGAAATACGGAGTTCCAGGTGTCAGTCATGGTAATATACTTCAAACTTCATTTCAGACTCACAAGATGGTTCTTAGCAAAAAAAGGGGCATATAAACTGTTTTCTTACCTCTTTACAAGTTAATAACATGAACTATTCTTAAGTTTTTAAATTCGGTTTTATCTTCACACAGTACGTGTGATGGTGGGAAATGGCGATGCTCAGAGAACTTTTGCCACAGAAGATGTGTCATTGAAGGCCAGTTTGTGACAACATTCGATGGAAAACAATATGTCCTCCCTAACAAATGTTTATATGTGGCTTCAAAGGTAATTCTTTCCAATTTCCTAACATGTAACATTACAGATGTATTCTATTTATGATACTAACTAGTCTTTTACTTTAAAGGGTCCCAACTGGATAATAATAATAGAGTTTTCGCAAAAAAAACTCCACATAAGAAAGGTTACGGTTCAGCTCATGGAGGTACAAGCAGTCTTTGAGGAATTCATTTAAAATAACAATATCTTTCGAACACATGTAATGAAACAGTAGTGTGCTATCATCAATATAAACACCTTTTTTTGCAGGAACTGTTTGTATTCACGAAGAACAAGGCCTTGTTTGATGGGCAGGAGATTTCGGAATTCCATCTGTCTGGTAAAGAAAATTGAAAGCATATGTAGTTGATTACATTTTGGCTGGATTTTCTTTCAAATGTGTAGTACGTCCAGTTGCCTAGCAATCCATTCATCATGGCTAATTTACCCAGCCACCCATTAATTTATTGAGTTCTCTCCTGTAGGTCATGCTCAGGTTTACTGGGTGTCCTCCATGTTCATCCAAGTCCACACGACCATTGGTATAAACTTCCAAATTCAGATGTCCCCTGAAATCCAGCTGTTCATCGACGCACCTGACACCTCCAATGACAAGATTAAAGGTGCGGACCACAGTCTACAGACAGGCCAAAATATATTCACTGGCAATCACTTCCTTTATGACTTTTTAAAAATTAGCTCTCAAGATGAAAAAGAAAATCAATAGAAAGTACATCATATTTTATGTGGCATGATCCAGTATGATTTGTAATCATAGCCAGTATGTCTTTTAGGTCTTTGTGGCAATAGCAACAGTGACACCACAGATGACTTCACCACCAACAGCGGGATCATTGAGAACTCAGCTAAACCATTTGCTATGTCCTGGAGTTTGCTTAATTGTTTCGGGAACATACCCACCACCTGCACCAACCTTGAGAATGGTACGAATTAATAATATAAATGTGTTTCAAATATGTTTGAGATTCTCTCTTTATGTCCGTCCTTTGATTTTTCTTGAGAACTACTCATCCGATTAACAGAACACTTGCATGATGCTGAGGACCGCAGCGAATCAAGTGTCAAGATAATAGGATATATACGTTGGTAGTGCATATTTACACAGTGGGTTGTGTTTACTGTGCCATTGCTACTTTTTGCAATTATGTATGTCATAGCAGATGTATTATTACCCAGGACAAGGAAGCGCAGCATCGAGTGTGAAGCAGTACCAGAGCCCCAGCAACGGGCTTCTTCTTATATGGCACCTTTTAGAAGGGGCACTGCACTAGTGTGTATAACACTAGTCCCACTCAATATTTGATTTGTCTACCGATCAGGGCTGAGAAGTCATTTAAAATATTCGACATCATATCAACATTGGTTTTAAAACATTGAAATTTGTTGATAACCTTGCTTGTGGTATGATACCAATATGCAAGGTCAATAAAATGCATTAATGATTTAAATATCTTTTTTTTGTAGAGAATTATGCTTACGAAAAATGTGCAGTGTTGAACCAACCAACTGGGATATTTGCTAAGTGCCACCCTCATATCCCAACTGATTACTACTACACGGTAACAAGATTTTTTCCCCATACCAAATCCTTTATAAATTTGTGAGTTTCAGAAATTAACCTAATTATTACTTATTTCCAGGCTTGCATCCAAAGAATATGTAACTCTGCCGGAAGTCGGAGACAGGGCTTGTGTATTGGTCTGGCCAGCTACGCCAAAGCCTGCGCCGGTGTTGGTGTTGTAATTGGTGACTGGAGGAGAATCACGGGCTGCGGTAAGTTTAGTTCTGAAAAATAAACAACGTATTCTGTGAACATCCACACAATTTATTTTCTAGAGTTTACTGAAAAGAACCAATGGAGGTACGCTATGTTCAACAAACTAAATCAACTGAATCAAATTAGTTGCTTTTATGAGATTATGAGATGTTATTTTCTTATTTTGATAATAATGCAATGATGATTAAAAGCTTTTTGGGTTGCAGCATTTTATAAAAGTAATTGTTAAGGATTTATACAGAATATAGTTTTAAACAATGCTGTTGAAAAAAAACAACGGGAGTCTAAATTAATAAAATGCCCCATTTTAATAGAATAAATAAATTGTTGGTACATTTAATGTTGTGTCTCAGATCTGAAATGCCAGAAGAACCAAGAATTCTCCTACAGCATGCATATCTGCAACCGCACATGCACTTCTCTTTCTGGCCATGACATCCGCTGTGACATGAACGACGATCCTGTGGAGGGCTGTGGCTGTCCGGAGGGAACTCACCTGAACCAAGGACAGACCTGTTGCCCAAAGGAAGAGTGTGGTTGTATTTACTACGGTGGTATTGCAGCCCCGGGGCCTGTTGTTATCGCCGGACAAAAGTGGTGGGTTGAATATCTGAGTATTGACAGCTTTTCCATAATAATACGACGTGATGGTTGAGGCTATTACCCGGTGTCTTCCTTAACCCTTTCTACCCAATGCTTTTATAGTGCACTCGTGTGTGGTGTCTCCATCTTTGATGTTAAGATACTAGCAAATATGTGTTATGTCTCAAAGCAAATATTGTGTCTGTTTTAGCAACTGCAAGAATGGGATACTGAGCTGTTTGCCAAATTGTGGTGAATATATATTCTTCCATCGCAATCATATCAACATCATACTCGTTCTTTGTTTACCTTAGTTGAATTATTTCAAGTTCAAAAATTTAATTGAAAACAAATTCAAATTTGACATTTACCTGTCTGAAATATATATCACACAGATTGCAGAAATGGGAAGGTGTGTGTTAGTTGCTCTGAGGGCGAAAATAAAAGTGTTCGGAACACCTGTGACTATATCAGCAAACCAAAGGTAAGTCGCCTGGTTATGTGATTGTCTCCATGGCTTGTTTGTCTATTTATTTGCATTCATTCATCAATTGAAAGCAGTCACTACTTACCATTAAAAATATAAGGATAATCTTGCTAATTAATATCATGAGGGAGACTTGTTTTTAAGGTTTTTTTGAGGTGATTCTTTTCTTGCCCATTCTTAACTTCATGTTGAATGTGCATGTCTTCATGTGCATGTCTTCATGTACATGTTCATTGTATCCTCAATGTTAACCCAAATTCAAATACAGTTTTTTATTGTCGTCTATAAAACACTTTCTAATAACAAAATTTCTTCATTTGCTGTGATTGGCAGGGTACCAGGGAGACCTGTAAAAGTGGCTGTTACTGTCCAGATCACCAGTATGAAGATCACCATGGGAACTGTGTTTCACTCGATGATTGCACCTGTGTGTTCAGTGGCAAAGCATTCAAAGCAGGACAGCAAGTTACCAGCAACTGTAAAACATGGTAACTCCCACTTATTTGATCAAAGGGTCCTATCCCGCCAAACGCTGATGAATCTGTGAATAAAAGGATGACATCACTCTATGTTACAGTACCTGTTATCGTGGTCAGTGGCACTGCATTGAGAAGCCTTGCCCGGGACAGTGCCAAGTCTACGGAAATGGACACTACCAGACCTTTGACTCCAAATGGTTCCGCTTTTCTGGACAATGTCTGTATACACTTGTGCAGGTAAGACCAAACAAGAAAGTAGGAATGAAATCCACTCACGCTCATATGTGTTTGCAATGCATCGCCAAATACTGAAGGGCTTCTTTATTTATAGACAGAATTTGCCAAATTTGTATTAACTTTTAAACTCTTCTTGCTTCAGGATTCCTGTGACATGAGAAGAGGCACCTTCTCTATCAGAGTGGAAAGTGTCCCCTGCTGTGAGGAGGTGCTCACCTGCTCTCGCAACATCATCCTTGACCTGAAGGTGGATTTTTTAGTTTCTATTTTACAGATACATCAATCAATAAAAGTCTAGTTACTTGTTTATCAACCCATTTATTCTCGTAACCCAAGGTCTACTCTTTTTTTTTTTACCTAAAAAGGGCCAAGTCACCCTGACGCTGAGAGACATGCAGGTGATCAGACGCCTCCATGAAGGCTGGAATGGGCAGGATGATTCACTTTACTCAATACACACTTTGGGACTTTACATTGTAATCTCAGTGCCAAGCAAAGGGATAACTCTCATCTGGGACAAACACACCCGGATCACCGTAGAGCTGGCGGGTTCGTGGAAGGTGAGTGAAGAGGATTTTAAAACCTAGCCATTTATTTACATCAGTTTGATGCTTTTGATTAGACAAAATAATAAAATGGTGGGGGGGGGGGGCACTTCTAAAGACTGAATTGATCTTGAAACCAACAATTTATACGGTTACTCAATGTCTTCTTCTGCAGTTATTTAGCACAAATCAACTTAAATTTATATCAAACTGAATATGAATCGGAATTACGGACTTTGGAAAAATCAAGACTCAAGCAGTTACTTACATTTTGCTTTGGTACTTTTTCAGAACTTCCACATTTACTTTCTAACCATCTCTCCTACAGAACCGAGTGTGTGGCCTCTGTGGGAATTTTGACTCCAATGAGATGAATGACCTAAGTATAAGTGGTTCATCAGGTAGATAGGTGTTTTCTATGTTTGTTGTTTCATAAAAGATTTTTACATTTTTTGGTGGTCGACTTAACACCCACAAATATGTTTTCTAGTGTCCAGTCCAATGGCATTTGGCAACTGCTGGAAAGTCCAAACACCTCCTTGCTCTGATGTGACCACTGATATATTTCCATGTGAACGCAACTCCTACTGCGCAGCCTGGGCCCAGCAGCGCTGTTTGATCCTTACAGGAGAAACATTCAGTGAATGCCACTTAAAAGTATGCATGTTATAGATTTAGCACAAACAACGTCAGGTGTTCGACTGCTAGATATTTTATGAATTTCCATATCCCAATCTGTCCTTACATGAAACCATGTTTACAAAAAAATATTCTCACAGATAGCCCTAAAATGTGTAGATACAAACTCCTTCCTGGTTGTTTTCCAATCCCCAGGTGGATCCAGATCCCTACTACGATGCCTGTGTGCAGGAGTCTTGCTCCTGTGAGTCAGACGGGAAGTTCCTCGGCTTCTGCACAGCTGTGGCTGCCTACGCACAGGCCTGCAGCGAGCAGCATGTGTGTGTGAATTGGAGGACACCTGATATGTGTCGTAAGTTAGGACCTTTTTTCCCTCACTAACGACACATGAACTTTACTCTAAAAGACACTTTGTTTTAACATGTTTTAATAACTTGTAATTTAAAGCCAGTAAAATAATGTAAGCACCAGCCAGTTCTGAAAATCAATTCCTTATATAGTTTGTTAGAATCTTACAAACTTCATAAACATTATATAATGTTTTATCAATTTAGTCGTGTTTCTTAGTGATTATGCAGAGACCTGACAAAGTGTAAGACTTACGTAAAGTAATAAACTTTTGTAATCAACAATTAATCTGTTGAAAATGTTCATAATTATTACTTTACCTGTTTAGAAAATATAAACTATAACGGTGTATTTCTGTAAAAGTTTAACTTGTGATCATTCAAACTATAGCGGTGTACTGTGACTACTACAACAAGCATGGACAGTCTCTCTGGCACTATGAAGCCTGTGGTCAGATGCTGACCTGTGGCAGAGAACACTACATCTCTCACAAGCTTGAAGGTAACCAAACATTCCCATTTCTATACAAACAATCACATTTAATTCTTATTCATGGTAAGATGCAAAATGAAAACAATGTATTTCTACAAACAACCATCACAATCTAGATCAAATCAAAGGTTTTTTTCTATTCAAAGCATAAGATAACAATAGCACTCATATTCAGACACATTTTGTTTATTTTTGGAAAAGGCTGCTATCCAAGATGTACAGAGAAGAAGCCATACTATGATGAAAACACTGGTGGATGCACCAGTTTAGGAAACTGCACCTGTTACTTTAATGGCACTATCATTGAACCTCAGGCAGTGGTAGTAATACAGAATGTGTTATGGTAAGTTGGGCAATTATTTTTTTTTGTCATTTCTGTTCAATTTAAAAAGATTAACATTATTCGAATGGGGTCATTCTTAATAAATATATATAGACTGTATATGTATAGACTTTTTCAAAATACATAAATGTACAGTATTTCCATTGTAATAATTTCATTACTCATTATGTTGACAACTGGATGTTGTTTCTCACTTTCCTACTTAATTATTTTCAGCCGCTGTGAAAATGGAGCCATGAACTGCGGTAATTATCAATTATATTGATCAACCACTGCCTTTACTATTTCATGTGTGTAATATTGGTTCCAGGGAACTATGGAATAGTTGTAGGACTTTGCTTTTTAAATGGTTTACAGTTTGTACCAAAACAGAAACTGTTTTCAAAATGCCAGACCTCAATTCCACCTCTTCTCCGACAGACCCTTCATCGTCCACCACTCCAACATCCAGCACTCACACCGCTTCTGATTCAACAACCAGGGATGTGACTCGAACACACCATACTCACACCGCTTCTGATTCAACAACCAGGGATGTGACTCGAACGCACCACACTCACACCGCTTCTGATTCAACAACCAGGGATGTGACTCCAACATCCCATACTCACACCTCTACTGATTCCACAACCGACGGTGCGTGCCATCTACTTGTGCTGCACAATGTACCATTGTTTCAGTTATCCATGCCACCAGTTCCTTAAATCACCAAAGATATGATTTTTGACTTTCTTCACCCGTTTCTTGCTCATCAAATCACCAGATTGCCAGTGTTTTGACCCGAAGAATTATAAAATCTGGCACTGCGGTGAGACCTGGACAGAAGATTGCTTCAAAAAGACCTGTATAGGTGGGCTGATAGAGTTGAGTCCAGTGGTTTGCCCAGTGATAGAATTTCCGGACTGCCCCAGAGACAAGTTCACAAAAGTCTTGGATGGATGCTGTGAAACACTTAAGTGTGACTGTAAGTTTATCCTTGTGCGCCTTGTGTATGCTTTTTCATTATTTAGTGTTTAACATGGCCTCTATGCCTCTATATATTTATTTGTGATTGTTTATTGTGTGTGATTAGTAAAGGTTTTTTACATCAGAGTACATCAAGTGCTGCTCCTTAGAACAGTATCAATTATCTTCCTCCCAATTCCCTACACCAGAGGTGAGGTCAAAGGTCAATACACACATTCAGCTACCCACAGGAGCTCTCTTACGCTGGGCATTGATTCATTCACAGCACGATTCATGCAAATACGACAGCACAGGCACTAGCCAATCAGATCGCATTCATGCTCACGTCTAAAGAGCGCAAAACTCAAAAATAAAAGATAGCAGACCAAACTCTGTAGAATAGGGGGTCCCAGTTTGGTGGACCTTGGCCTGAAAAACGTCAGACCCATGCCCTACACGTATCTTTCCTTTAAATACCACGCTCTGTGAGGCTGTACTTAAGGATATGGATTGGACCTAAATACCAAAGCCAGCATGCCAACATGCTCACAAGGAAAAAGTTAGAATGCTAACATTTTGCAAGTAATGTTTATTATGGTCAGCATATTTGTTGAGAGCGATAACTGTGCATTATCAGCACCAAAGACAAATACAGTTAAGACAGGATGGGAATGTTTTGAAAGTGGTTGGGAAATATGTTTAGTTTTTGACAAATTCAAATGCTGACCACAGCATGGCACTAAAGTAATAGTTAACAGATCACCAAGTTTAATCCAGTGTCCCAAATATTCTTTTTGCTTTGTTTTCATATCTACTAAAACCCCTTTATCTTTCTAGGTCATTGTGAGATATATGGGGACTCACACTACACCACTTTTCAAGGTGTTAAGTTTGATTTCCTGACAGAATGCACCAACATCCTGGTGAAGGAGATATCATCACATCCTAGTTTGTACATTTCTGTGGAAAACGAAAACTGTGTAGCAGGCAGGCATCGCTCCTGTGCAAAAAGCATCACCGTGAAATATCAGGGATCTAAAGCTGTACTGAGTATCCATCCAGACTTCTCTGTAGTAAAGGTGGGATAAAATAAAACTTCATTCATAATATGTCATGCCCCATTATATATTGGCTATTTTGGTAATACAATGTAAAAAATCATCTTCTGTGATAAAGGATGTTTTTACTTCAAGGCTTTACTATATAAGGAATCTGGTTTGATAATGATTTAATCTACCCTAGGTCACTCTGAACGGCCTGGTCGTTCAGCCACCATTGCAGGCGGCTGGGTTTAGGTTTGAGAGCACGATGGACACGGTGACAATCTACATGCCAGAGATCCGCTCTTATGTCTCCCTCAGTCAGTCCCATAACTTGGTGGTCAGTTTGGCCATGGAGTACTTCCACGGAAAAACTCAGGGACAATGTGGTGGGTAGTGTATTCTTTTTTTGCCATACACTTTCTGTAGATGTGCTAAAAGTGGCTACACATAGAGGCTTTAAATAAAGTGAAATGTACTTTTGTACATTAGTCATCGGATTGGATCGGTCTTTTCTCCAGGTGTGTGTGGTGTTGGATCATGTATCCGTAAAGGAGGGAAAATGGAGGACAACAGCTGCTGTGATAAGACGGCTTATAGCTGGGTGAAACGTCACGGGTCCAAACCGGCCTGTGCTCTTTTACCAAGAGATGTAGAATGTGACCAGACGACTGCAGTACCCCCTACAACAACCACTTCTCTCCCCTGCCCTTCGAGCGCTCTATGTGTGGTCCTGGACCACCCGTAAGCTACACACACTAACACACACACCTCCTCGGAGAATTGAGAATGACTGTTTTTGTCACAATTCATGTCATATGATCAAGGCCCAATGTGTAGCCTTTACTTAAGAGCTCTCTTTGTGACTAATGTAAACATGTAGTGGAAACCACCCAGTTTCACCTGTAATACCGTAGTTACTGATGCAAGCAGTCACATACTTTGTGTCTCTGTTTCCTCAGAGCCTTTTCAAAATGCATCAAGCACTTGATGCGTAAAAAGAAGATCTGCGTGTATGGTTCCTGCGATATTGACCGTTGCTCTATACTAAAGCGCGCCGCAAAGGAGTGCATGAAAGCTGGTGTCTGTATTGACTGGAGAGCACTGACTAATGGAAAATGCAGTATGTATCTTTTATCCATTTTTTTAATTATATTTAAAGTAAAGCCAGCGAGGCCGGGGCTTAATTTATATTAGGTTATTTTTGGCCTTCCAATAATAATGTTCTGAGTAAAAACTCTAAAGATGATGTCCTCCTTAAACCAAAACCAAAACCAAAAAAAACAAAAACAATATTCTTTAATTGTTTTTGTTCATGTTTCAGCTATGACATGTCCAAAAGGATTGGTCTACAGACAATGTCGTGACAAGCTGGATGACTTCTGTCTTAAAGGGTTTGACAACGCACTTACTTTCTCTTGTGACATTTGTTTCTCACTTTCGGGAATTGAAAATGTTTCCACTGTCAAGACTTCCATATTCACTTCTTCCCATCTTGTTTGGCTGTACAGAATCGTTAAAGAAGGAGCCCCCTTCGAGTGCACCAGAGAAGGCTGTTTTTGTCCCCATGGTCAAATCAAGGCAGACCAGGACTCAAACATCTGTGTGACAAGCTGTCCGTGTGAGTAAAATTTCCTGAAAGACACCTACACAGAGACGTTTGGTCCCTTTACTAGTGTTAATGTGGAGTTTGTGTACTGTCCCTTAGATTGTAAAGGACCCCTCGGTGAGCCCAAACAGGTGAGTATCTTTGTCTCATCAGTGATGAAACAGTATTATCCCCAATGGGACTTTAGCTTTAAAAAGTATGTCTGCGTTTCAGCCTGGTGACGTCTGGGAGTCCGGCTGTCACATTTGTAAATGTAACAAAGAGACTGGAAAAGAGGAGTGTCATCTTAAACCTCTTGAGACAAAACCGAGTTGTAGCCCAGACTCTGTACTGGTAAACAAACCTTGCTGTGGTGAAAAGATGTGTGGTAAGCAATTGTGGTAATATTTTAAGACATCTATTTTCCCATGTGAATATTTGAAATAATCGCACATCGTTATTCTCTTTCAGTTAAGAAGACATGCAAATTTGGTAAAAGAACATACCAGGTACGTTGATCTGTTAAAGTCTGTGTCTATGGCGAATGACAACGGCTTTGTCTCCCTCTCTCACTTGAAATTAATCTCTGTACTGTATAGAGTCTTGTTGTGATGTCATTTTTGTGTTTAGGTGGGAGAATCTTGGTCAGATGACTCCAATCCGTGTCAATCATATCATTGCACTTTAGAGGGAATTCAAACTGCAATCCGTGATTGTCCGAGAGTCCATTGTCATCCGGTACTGCACAACCCCTCCTCTTATTCCATAGAAATACCTCAAGCATTACTGCCATTACCGTTCTCCCCAGTGTTTTTTTATAATGAGGGGAAAATTTTATAATTACTAGTTTTGGATTAAACCTATGTGGGTAAATATTGGTATTAAAAAGTGTTAATGGGTGGATACCCAAATAAAAAGAGATTTTTCTATACACAAATATGTATATACGCACACCCAATACATACACATGTATATATGTATACACACACATACATATAAATACCCATATACTGTATATTATAGGTACTCTTTAGTCGAGAAATAAAATATTTACACTTTAACACTAGAGGTAACTAATAGTTAGGTACTAAACAATAGTTTAAAAAAACCTATTTAACCATTAGCTCCTATTTTGTAATCCCCAGGCCAGATTAATATGGGACGACCACAAATGCTGCAAAACATGTAAGTAAAGTTGAAAAATTTGAAAAAGATGACATTTCACTACAAGCCATTTAAGTCTTAGAAATTTAAACATTACAGTTCTTCACATTTTATAGGTGTTTTGCTTCCAATCAACAACTGCAACAACTGCCTCTCTCATTAACATTCTCTCACTCCAGGTAACAACACCTGTGCGCCCGTGTTTGGTGATGTTGAGTTCAGGACTACCGACTGTCACACCATATTGCACGTACCTGTCTGTATGGGCGAATGTGGCTCTGGTTTGAGGTAAGAGGAAATACTCTTGTCACTGATCTTCCCCAATAGTTTTGATACACAGTTTAAGGTTTTTAGTGTTGATACTCACAACTTTTACCTCAGTCCTGTGTGAATTTTAGAAACCATTTGTCTGTATTAATACCTTGTTTTCTCTTCTCTTTCTTTCCTTCCCTTCTAATCTTCCTCTTCACTTTGATGCCACAGCATAAAGGCAGGCCATAATCTGTGTGTGCATGCACAGAACAATTGCTGTCAGGAGAAGACCTCGGAGACGAAAACGCTCTCCGCGATATGCTACCACCCTATGACCAACAGAAGAGAGGAAAAAACGTTCACTTACAAGCACATCACCTCTTGTGAGTGCAGACTGTGTAACACACAACACTGAAAAAATGTTGTTAGCAAAGCCATTTTCATCCTGTTCCCTTTAGATTTCTAGATCAAAATATAAAGTACTCAAATAGTTTTTTGTGATTTATTAACAATCAAAATTCCTCATTGTATTTCTTCTGCAAAGCAATTTCTTGATCTGCTTTTAGTCAAATAAAATGAATCATTGTCTACTCACCAACATTTGTTCTATGTGTCTTCATTTGGTGCATTATTAAACCCAAGTTCACTTGCAAGGATTAAGCCTAGTTTATGCTTCTGCGTTTTCAGAGAGCGGCAGGGACACACAGACGCAAGAGTCCCTTGCGTCCTTTCATGCTTGCGTGCGTCAAGCCGCCATTATTAAAACAAAGATTTTTTACGTGGGAATGGATCAGATTGAAGAGCTTTTGCTGGAAGAAATCCACAAATATGACCACTTTTACAACCCGTCATTTGTGGACTATAAGTGGAGGGAAAAATATGGAGGCAAATCTCCGCAAACGTCGGTTTGCTGGTCGGTGGTGGACAAAGTTGTGGAGGAAAATACGGGACAAATATGTCCGCAAAAAAAAGGCGATAAAAAGCAGCAGTGGCGATGCACGGGGCAAAAAAGTCTCTAATAAATAAATAAACAAACCAACGACTTCCACACACAAGACGTCACTCTCTAGGTCGTCTTTGACAAAAAACGTTTCTCCACCTAGTGTTCTGGCGATGAATTGCTTTGCAACACGCGCAAGCCTTTTAGAACCATGAATTGAAACGAGTGCGTCAACACAACTGCGCATAAAGACGCAGAAGCATGCGCCAGCCTTAACACTTTCAAACATCAGGGTTTTATTACTACAGCCTTTGACTCTCTTTCTCAATCTTCTGGTGAAAGCTGTTACTATATCCATTTGGTCTCTTTCTCCCTCTGCTGGTGACAGTTGTTACTACAGCCTTTGACTCTCTTTCTCCCTCTTCTGGTGAAAGCTGTTACTACATCCATTTGCTCTCTTTCTCCCTGTACTTGTAACAGTTGTTACTACAGCCATTTACTCTCTGTCTCCCTCATCTGGTGACAGTTATTACTACAGATGTCTTATCTACTGTTCATTGTTGATCATATAGTTGCCTCTTTTTATTAGATCTTTATCTCTTACACTCGTATCCACCCTGTTTTTGAAATCACTCCTACTCATGCAACAACATTGTGTCCTAGTTCTGGCACTTTTTATCAAACATTAAAAAATATCTAGTCATTTAATGGTATTAATTTGAAGGCGGTGTGCGTGGCGGACGGCGGCGGAAGCGGCGGCTACATAGAAAAGTTTCAGGTTATAGGTTATTTGCCAATGTCAGGAGTAGCAGCTACCCGCCTCCTCCTCCAAATCCCATGGCAATGAGAACTTTTTACGACCGGTGATGAAGTAAAAAATACTATTTATTATTCAACTTCACTCTTTAGTATATGTGAATGTGTTCTTATTAAATCATAAGGGAAAAAATATAAACCTATAATGCCAAAATTCCAGAAAAACACTAATTTCTGGGGTTCATTTGACATAATATTGATGTGATTTCCACAGATCAACAGTAATGTGTGTAGGGTCAAACTACTCATTACGTCTTTACTTCCCCTCTACCTTAAAGAGAATCATTTCATGGCTTTCTTCAACATTTTATATCTAACAAAGGGAGCACAGAGAGAAAACATTATTTTAGACGGAAACTCTTGGGGCAGCGCTTGGAACTGCAGGCCAATGGTCATATGACAGATGAATATGAAATGTTTAAAGTCATCACAGGCCCCGACCTCGCCGGTACCGGCCCCGAGACTCCAGGCCCTGACCCCGACGCCTCCAGTCCCCGCTCGGAGACTCATGACCCCGACGCCTCCTGTCCCTTCCTCGTGGTCGTCTCCCACCCTCCCGTTGGCGATTTGAGGGCCGTTTCGGATCCGGCCCTTGAGGAGGGGGCTATGGCGGGGGCTGAGCCGGCGACTCCGGAGGTGTTCCGTGTCCCCGAGCCGGCAACGACTCCACTACTCGTTTACTAACCACTCTTCTGAGGAGGAGTGGACGAGTACCATCGCCGTGGTGCTCTGCCTGCAAAGGCAGTTTCAATAGTCTTCTCTGAAGAGGATGTGAGTCATGAGTACAGCAACAGCTGTAAATAATTTGGGGTTTATTGAATTCTTATCAAAGGCTTGTTACATACAGAAGCATGCAGAGAGCAGAAGCAGGAACATGATTCAACTACAAATGGACTGGGAAAAGGTATTATCATAAGGGAGGAAGCATGGATGGGCCCCCATTCAGATCCCAGACTCTCAACCTACCGCCCCAAATCGTGGCTCTGGTGTTGTATCTTATCGAGTCACACCTCCGCGTTTACCCGCAGTGAATGATCTAAAACATGAAAAAAGTATTTTGACCTTAACATGAAACCTACAATTGCCACTACTCAACATTAATGGAATTGGCAATCCCACACTTCAGCAGTAGAATTTATAGCAGTACAATATCCACACAGGCACATTTCTCCGATTTAAATCGTCAAAAAGAAATATTGCATTAATAAGAGACATTTATATACATGTTTATGGACAGAAACATTTTATTTTTATGTTGAATTAACAGAATTACCCAGATGTTCTTTCTGACTGAACTTCTGATTAGCCTCATTTTGATCTCTTTCATAATTTCTAGAGTTTTTGTGTTTTCTCAAGAAAATCAATTCCCCATTTCAATGACCACAGTCCTACATCTGTTTTACAACATGTTTCACCTTCATACCATCTTTCCACAGGACCCATCACCTACCTATAGTTTGACCAAAATTAAACATTGTACTTTTAGCTATCTAGAATGTCAATAAAGTTTATCACCAATTATGGGGAAGATTACTAAATTAAGTCATGTTTCCATGTGATATTAAAAGAAATATTGAAACCACATCAAAATGAATTCACCTGATTGAATCAGCTCATCAAATGACATGTCTGTTACTTAAGTTGTATAATGGGTTGTATTAGCTTAGTTTAGACATATTAAGCTAAAAAACATTTCTTGGTTGTTCTGTATGTCAGAAGTTCTCCTTTCGACTCAATAAAAAGAACTCAACTCAACTTAAAAAGAAAATACATCTTTTTTTCAGAAGGCCATTTAATTAAAGCTAAATCATATGTGCCACACTGTGCCACACTGATGGCATATAATAGAGTTAAAACACACCGAAGCCCCATCACTGTTGGACATGCAATGGTCGTGCATGTAAACAGCATAACCTGCATGGACTGTCAGGGTTATGCGTCTGCACATGCTCTGCTAAAGCCGCTGCCCCCCCCCAGCCACTACGCTGCAGCGGCTCATATGCGCTCTACAGGCACGTTCCTGGTTTCAAAACTCCGCCAATCACTCCTAATAGCTTGTTGAAGCATCCCAGCATCATCAACTTAATTCAAAACGAGAAGAAAATGCGTATTCTGACCAGCTGTAAGCTCTCGTTTAACTTCCACTTAGTTCATGTCCTATACATTCTGTTAATGTACAAATGTCAGCTGTCTTGTATTACATTCAGTTTTACTGAATCTTACAGACACAAACCACACTGATGGCATACAGTTAAAGTTAAAACACTCAACGAAGCCCCATTATTAATGGACATGTCTGAAATCCGGTCATCATAGCCGACAAGCCGAAGTTGTATTGGGGCGCTCGCTCCTTCTGCGCGATGCACACTCCCAAGCTTGAATCTAGAATCAATTGCTCTTCCTTGGGTTCCCGGATGTTGCAATTGAATTTTTGCGGTTGAATTTTTTGCAGTTGAATTTTTTGCAGTTGAACTTTTTAACGTTGAATTTGTCACGGTTGAATTTTTTGCAGTTGAATATATTAACATTGAAAAACATTCAGATACATGATTTCAATGTATAAATATTCAGTTCTATAAATTCAATCACCTTTTTCTTTCAAAATCCGATGACACAGATTTACTTTCTTACTGTACAGAATAGACTGGAGCCAGAGACTACTATTGTCACAACCGTACAATGGCCCTGAACCCAAATGCACAACACAACAATCAAAGTTTATTAACAAAAAGGCAGCAAATGACTAGTGTTGTTACCTGCGACCCTCCTGCTTCGAAGCTTGTGTCGAAATATGAACCAGTGCAAGGCGAAGCAAATGTATCGGTGCTCGGTTCGTTCGCTGCTGATCACGTGATCAATGACGTCCGAAGCTTCGGTCCTGCGCACAGTCACATGACCACTTCGATGTGATTCAGATGGGCTCGAAACCGGCTACGGGCTTGTTGGTTTGATACAGTCAAAGTCAGTGTTGTTTTTGCACTTTTGGATGCAGACCACCAGTTCAAGTGCATACAGGTCGGGGACTTTGGCCAAACATCTGATGGTGGGGTGTATGCAGGGTCAGATTTGGGGATGGAAATGGAGGGAAACGCACTACACGTACCTCCTAGTACCTCTCTGCCTGGTGCTGCTCACCTTGGGAATGTACCACATGTCATGGTGGGTGACGCAGCTGAAACCCTACTTAATGCGACCCTACCCAGGACAGAACCTCATCCACACGAAGAGGATTTTCAATTACAGACTCTCGAGGGCAAGGATGGTAGTTGAAAATGCCTTTGGCATTCTGGCGTCACGTTGGATTTTCCATCGAAGGATTAACCTTCACCCCAAAAATGTGGACACTTGTTGTGGCAGCATGAATCCTGCACAATTTCCTCCTTGTCCATCCATCCATCCATCCATCGTCAGACCGCTTATCCTGCACACAGGGTCGCGGGGGTGCTGGAGTCCATCCCAGCCAACTTCGGGCGATAGACAGGGTACACCCTGGATTGGTCGCCAGCCAATCGCAGGGCAACACAGAGACACACAACCATTCACACTCACATTCACACAACTACGGGCAATTTAAAGTCCCCAATTAACCTGATCCCCAGAGCATGTCTTTGGACTGTGGGAGGAAGCCGGAGAACCCGGAGAGAACCCACGCAGACACGGGGAGAACATGCAGACTCCACACAGAAAGGCCACTGGGCGGAATCGAACCCAGGACCTTCTTGCTGTGAGGCGACAGTGCTAACCACCACGCCACCGTGCTGATTTCCTCCTTGTCCCAACGGAAAATGTTCAACTGTTGGAAGAGGCAGCAGAACTGGAGAGACTCATGGCAACAGTGAGGAAC